GATATGCTGACATACAGTTCAACATTTTTAAAAAATCTATTTTATTAAAAGATGAATAGAATAATCAAAAACTAACCAATTAAGTAAAATATGATGTAAGAGGTTCTCTCCAAACTATTTCAACACCTTGTTAGCTCTACTCTTTCCAGCTTGGGGTTCAAACAACAGCCTAGAGCTTCTTGGGAGGTGGCCTATCCTCCCTCCCAAATATGTTGAGCCAAGGGACATAGCTCAACAAGCAAACCCTTCATCAACTGTGTGGACCGCACCCAGGAGGGAACCATCCTGGAGCTACTTTAAGTTTTACCCAGGAAAATGTGGCTGAGAAGTACTAAAGTAATACACACGAGGCTATGACATACCAACTCAACACTATTATCCTTGACGCTGTACACACAGCAGACGGAGTCAATCAGATTGGGACACACCCTTGCTTAAAAGCCTTCTATTGGTTTCTCATTGTACTTAACAGGAGGCCCAAAGTGCCTGTCCTGGGTTGTGAAAGCCCATGTGATCAGACACCTGTCCGGCCTGCTCAGTCACTGTCAGTGTTCCTCACCCTACAATAGACGGTCCACTGGCCTCCCTTGTTTTTCCCACAAGGAAGCTCTCTCTGCTGGAAATACTTTCTCCCTGGGCTTTTCATGATGGCTTCTACCCTCATTTAGATATTAGTTTAAATGTGACCTCTACAGTCATATCTTGCCTGAAAAGCCATTTTCGTAGTGAACAAACTTTAGACAACCTCCTCTTTTTACCAGGCCTCATTCTTGAGCCCTGCCTTTCTAGACTTTAGATCTTCCTATAAGAGTCCAAGTGAACCATCCTGTATATAAGTCATTACTCACCTCTGCTAACTGTTCAAGTTTCTCTCCCCCATCCTTGATGTCTAAGACCTTGGTATATCTGGAATGCAGCTCTGTTCTTCTCCTATTGCAATAATTCTGAATAAAATCTATCTTCAGCACTTTTAACTAGTATCTGGCTTTGATTCTTTTTGACAGTAGCTACCTGGTCTGATATTAAATTATCCTACTTCAAATATCTGTATAGAATTAATCACATAATTATTATGACATTTATTTATACACAAGGATAGAAGCAATGGAAAGAGAGATACTGTATCTTGATCACTGCTTCATAGTCTGTACAGCCCAAACTCCATAGCAATTGTTACACCCACAAGAAATTTGGTTAAGTGAGACCATTTTCATTATATATATGAAGGGACATGAAAATTAGCATCTCTTTCAAACAAATTTATTATAAAAACATAAAAATGTGTAAAACAAACGTTACAAACTGTGCCCTCTGGTTTCTTCTACATACCTCATGGTATATTTTCCAAATATTCCATGAAGGGTGTATATTACTTTTAAGATCAGAAAATTTTATGGATCCCTGGTACCAAGAAAAAGAAAAAATTTTAAAAGTAGCATTGAAAAATAGGTAGTTTAAAAAAAAAAAAGAAAGAAAAATAGGTAGCTTAATAAATTACTACTTTTGTCAGTTTAAAAATGTGTTTCTTGAGAGAAACAATTTACTTGCTGTAATTTCTCAAGATTATTAATTATATGCCAAAAGACAGGCACATAAAAATGAAATAAGCAAATTTTCACAGGGGAAAAACTGTCAAAAATATCTTTGTCCTTGAAGTTTGAAAAACTAACAAATCTTAAATAATAAAATATCTGCAAATAATAAAATAGAGAAAAAGAAGAAGAGGATAAGAGACTTCTCTTTCATAGCTATCACATTATCCATTGCAGGGAATCAAGATGAAAAGTTGTACTCACTGTGTGGTATGATTCAGTAGTAAATGCTAGTGACCCACGCACTACTGTTAACCAGCGTACTCTGCTCACTACACTACTTGTCCCCACCCTGCAGTAGCTCACAGGGCATTTATGGTATCATCTACTGGCTGTTGCTTACTATTTTATGACAATTACCATTACTGAGGTTGTTTGTAAATCACTGTTTTTATATGAGTAAATAAAACATTGTCATTACATGGAAATCCATCAATTAAACTCACAATTAAAATATTTAGAATAAAATTAAAAATAATTCTCACTTTTCCAATAACTTCAAACACTATAGTGGAATTCACTGGGCATATGCTATTTGTTCCTTTTGCTTGCAGTGTGTTTTCCCTCTACCAGAGAGACAAATGATTTGCTTCTTCACATCTTTTAAGTTTTTACTCAAATTTCATCTTCTTAATGATGTGGTCAATGATTTAAAATTAGAATTCCTTGGGCAAGGAATTTAGCTCCATGGTTCAGCCACCTGCCTCGCAAGCTCAAGGTCCCAAGTTCGATCCCCAGTACCAAAAAAAAAAAAAAAATAGAATTCCTCAGTGTTCCCTATTCCTTACCACTCTCAATTTATTACCATCTAATACCTTCTCCTTTGTTTACTGTCTCTTCTAGCAGTGCAGGCCCTGAGCAAGAATGTGGTCTACCTTGTACATTTTATACCCCAGACAGTGACACTGAGTGAGTGAATGATATAGGTACATTTTCCCATGTTATGATTTTTGAGATTGTGCTCAGGTTTATCTATAATATATGTAGCTTGAAGTACAGAATCACTAAAAATATCTCTAATGGTTAGCAATGAGTCCAACTGGGTTTCAGGGACTTGGTGTTTTCCTAATTCCTTTTATACTGCTGAAATCTGGACTAATGGAAAAATATCTCAGTGAGGTAACCAGGAAGTTACATTTGGCTGTTCTGGATACCTGAAGAAAAGAACACACTGTGTCAGAGTATGCTGACTGTGTGTAGCTCACAAAACTGAAACTTTCCCCATATATGATTTTCCCTTTTTATGATAAGGTTTTTCCTCCTGTGGTTTCAAAATGAAAATAGTTCTTGTCTAGTTCAGAGTGTTCAGAATATTCAACTTCAAACTCCTAGGGGAATGAAAGAAGCTAGCTTCATTATCCAATTGTGTTTCACAGAAGGATCTTGATAAAAACAAAACAAACAAGAAATAACTCTTCTGCACAGGAAATGGAAGTTCACTAAACACAAATTTCATTTTGTCTTAACCCCGAGCAAGAGATGTGCTTTTCAAAGTGTAATGGGTCATATTGTGTAATTTCTCTTCAGCCAATGCCGTGGACTGAATTTTGCCCCCCACCCCAATCTGTACACTGAAGTCAGTATAGATCACTTTTCCCTTATACCAGACACATACAACTTAAGAGGGAAGGGTTTATTTTGGCTCAAGATTTCAGAGGTTTCAGACCATGTCTGGTTGACTCAAAGGCAAAAAAGCATTATGGCAAAAGAGCACAGTGGAGCAAAGGTGCTCAGTTAATGGCAGCTGGGAAGCAGATCAGGGAAACAGCACCCAAGAGGAAGGGGCCAGGGTCCAGATGCAGCATCCAAGGCCCTGCCTCCATGGCCCACCTAGGCACACCCAAAGTGTGCTTTATTCACACCCTAGGTGGCTCACAGTCAATCAAGTTGACAATCCAACCTAAATGTAATGAAGTCCAATCCCTAGTACCTCAGAACGTGACTGTAACTGGAAGCACAGCATTGAAAGGGATAATTAACCGAGTTCGATCCCCGGTACCAAAAAAAAAAAAAAAGAAAAAAGAAAGGGATAACTAAGTTAAAATTAGGTCATTAATATGAGCTCTAATGCAGCATGACTGGGGTCCTTACATGAAAAAGAAATTTGGGCAGAGACATCATACCCAGGGAGAAGACTACCACCTTCAAGGCACTTGGTAAAGGGGTCCACTTGGCAGCCAACTCAAAAATACCACAGACTTTGGTCAGGGTAAAATACTTGTTAAGAGGTGGATTTACATTTCAGTCTTATTCTCTCATACTCCTTTCAGACAGCTGACAGCATGTAATGCTTCTGATTTTGCAAATTCTATAGCTTTGTTGCCTTTTTCTCACTACTACTGGATCAGAAATATTTTGGTTGGGCTGGGGATTTAGCTCAGCAGCACAGCACCTGCCTGGCAAGCACGAGGTCCTGAGTTTGATCCCCAGTACCAAAAGAAAAAAAAAAAATTTTAGTTGACAATAAGACTGAAGGAACCAGGACAATATCATTTTTTTTGAAAGATTAAAAGTCACTTTCAGACTCTTAATTTATACCTTTTTTGGGTTTTTTTTCTTTTCACTTTCCATCTTTCTTCTATTGGTCTTATATTCAATTTTTTAAAATTTCATAAACTATCATGTTATTTCATAATTCATGAAGGATTCCAATTCGAAAATCATTTTACTAACTGGTAGAACAGAATTGATGAACATAGGGTAAACTTTTTATAGGATTAATGAAAAGGAATTTAGCTAACTAAATTAATGGCACAAGATCTGTCTCTCCATTCTTCACCAGCAACTGAATAACTCTAAATTACACATAAAAACACTATTCAATGATAACCATGTGTTCTTTTAAAAATGTTAGAATACGTAGAATTGTTACTTCTTTCAAAATATATCTATATATATTTTCAATAATTTTTTACACTAGTTTTATTTTTACTTTTGCAACTTTATTTGATCCATGAGGCCACAGAGGGACATTGAATTAGCTAATGTAGCAGACTCCAAATATACAGTTAAATTCAAACTAATATAACTATAAATTACCTAATTTTAATTTATTTAATCTTTCAATTACCGCTGGATGATGTGCAGTCAACTTTCAGCACAACAGGAAATATAACACAACTGATTCAATGTAGTATTTTAATTTCCATAAATTAAGATTAATTTATGGAAATAGTTTTTGTTTTCCATTCCTGCTTCAAAGATTGCATAAAAATGAATCCATCAGAAAACAAGCAACAAACCTACAAAAAAAAGTGAAGAATCAAAAGTAAGCAAGATCAAAAGGTAGGAATCTATTTGTTAATAGTTGTAAATATTCTATTTACTAAAATTAACACTTTAATTGTGGTACAATATAGTATGTAACATTAAATTAACATTTAAAATGCAATGAAAACATTTCCTCACCAATATTGGGATGTTTCAAAAGACGGCAGATTCTAGCTTCCCTTTCCAGTTTCTGATGATCTGTTTTAAAAAAAGAAATTACGATAAAGCATAAAACAATCAAAGATAATAATAAAGAGCATACCAAAATAACATATAGCCTGTGTTCTTACTTATCCTTTGATTTTTTTTTAAACAATGGTCATTTAGAGTTGGATTCAGGTGAAGACCACATAGTTCAATGATCTAATTTTATTTTTTTATTCGCTTGATGCTTAATAGAGTGAAGTATAGGATAGGGCTGAATTTGTACTTCGGCTAGAGGAAATGGTGGAAATGGCACCCAAACACTATTCTTTCCTCTCTTTACTGTAAGTAAATATTGTTACAGGAATTCAAATAGTCCAACATACACTTATTCATGAAGATCACAGGATGACTATCTGGAAATTGGAATGCTGATGAATCCAGGGCTGAATAAGATAATTATAGTTTACCCCTGGGGGAGAAGTGTTTCCCGTTCAAGGACTATTATATCAACCACTCTCCACCTACTTATTGTTTCAACTTCATATGTGTATGATGCTCTTCCTAATATCCCCCAATTACCTGACTGCTTACTCATCTTTACCTTTCTGTTTTCCTAACCATTTCTTTCAGAAGCATAAACCAGTATAAACTCATATTTTAAGAATGATCTTTATATTCTTCCTTGGTTTCCTTGTGTGGTACATGGGCATATAATTATAACCAAAGTCACTTACCGAGCACAAAGTAACTGTGAGAAAGACAAGAACACAGAAACCCATGTTGTCCCTGAGAACAGCTCAACAAGCCTTTGAGATGGGCAACATTATTACCCCCATTTTTTACTCATGAGAAAACTAAAAGGTTAAGTGGTTTGCCTTATATTCCAATATTAGTAAGTGGCACCTACCATATCATAAATACCATACCATTCCGTTCTCATAAATATCATAAAATGGACTTAGAGGATGAAGGAGACACCTGCCTAGCCACCCACTGAGTATATTCCAATGGTCTGGAGCCTCTGGGATCTGAGGAATCCCCTATACTCTTAAAATCTATCAAGGACTCTAAAGAGCTCCTGTTTATGTGGACTGAGTCTACTAATATTTAACCTGTTTAAATTTTAAAAATTTTAAATGTTTATTTAAAATAATAATTAGCTCATTACATAGTTTAAAAAGTAAATACATTTAATAATTTCACTTATTTGGAAACAAAAAATTTAAGAGTATGGATAGTACAAGCAGCACTTGAATACTATTTATCAAGACACAGCTATTGTTAATATTTTACTCATTTAAAAAATCATTTGTGTATCTTTCCATTTTTTTATATCGTCTTCAATCTTTTTCAGAGTACTGAGGTTTTCAATGTAAAGATCTTTGACTTCCTTTGTTAGATTGATTCCTATTTCATTTTTTTTTTTATGCTGTTGTCCAAGGCATGGTGATTTCCCTAATTTCTCTCACAGTAAGTTTGTTATAAGAAGTTTTGTGTATAGGAATGCTATTGGTTATTGATTGTTGACTTTGTATCTAGCCACACGACTGAATTATTAAATCTAAAAGTCTTTTGGTGGAGTTTTGGGGGTCTTCTATGTAGGGTATCATGTAATCTGCAAATAATGATAGTTTAACTTCTTTTCCTATCTTTATTCCTTTTCTTTCTTTCCACTGAAGCCAGGGATTTAGCTCAGTGGTTCTGTCGCCTGCCTTGCAAGTGAAAGGTCCCGAGTTCAATCCCTGGTACCAAAAAAAAAAGGAAATGTATCTTTCCATTGTCTAATTGCTCTGGCTAATGTTTCCAGAACTATATTGACTAGGAGTGGTGAGAGCAGACATCCTTGTCTTCTTCCTGATTTTAAAGTGAAAGCTTTCAGTTTTTAAAGAGTTAGTATGATATTGGTCATTGGTTTGTCATAGATAGCTTTTATCAGGTTGAGATAAAAACCATCTATTCCAATTTTCTGTAGGGTTTTTATCCAGTTTTCTGTAGGGAATGGGTGTTGGAATTTGTCAAATGCTTTTTCTGTATGTATTGGGATGATCATGTGATTTTTGTCCTTGGCTCTGGTGATATGGTATATTATTACATTTATTGATTTGTATGTGTTGAACTATCGCTGCATCACTGGGGTGAATCCTGCTTGGTCGTGGTGTATAACCTTCTTGATGATTTCCTACACTCTGTTTTCTAGTATCTTATGAAAAAGATCATTGGTAGGGAGAACCAACATAGTGAAAATGGCTATACTCCCAAAACTGTTCCCCAGATTTAATGCAATTGCAATGAAAACACTAATAGCACACCTCACAGAACTAGAGAAATCCTTCATTTGGAACCACAAGAGCCTAGAATAGTAAAAACAATTCTGGGCAACAAAGGCAAGTCAGGAGGCATTACAATTCCTGACCTGAAATTATACTACAGAGCTACTGTGATAAAAACAGCATGGTACTGGCCAAAAAATAGATCCAAGGATCAATGGAACAGATTAGAAGATGCAGAAACAACTCCAAACACACTTATCTTGGAAAAAGGGGCCAAATACCTTCACTTGAAGAAAGATAGGCTCTTTTCTAAATGTTGGTGGAAAAACTGGCTTTTCACATGTCAAGATTAAAACTAGATAGGTCTCTCACTATGCACTGAACTAAAATCAAAATGTATCAAAGATCTAAATATTAAAACAGAATCCCTAAAACTGCTGGAAGACAGAATACGTAGAACTCTCGAAGACATTGGTATAGGCAAAGATTTTATGAACAAAACCCTAATTGCACAGGAAATATCACAAAGAATCAACAACTTGGATCTGATCTTATTAAAAAGGTTTTGCACATCAAAAGAAGTCACCAAAGTAAAGAGAAACTGACACTGTGGGAAAAATTTTTAGCCAGTGGTTCCTCAGAAAAGGACTAATATTTAGAATATATAAAGAACTGAGAAAAATCAGACCACCCTAAATTTAAAGACCCAATCCAAAAATGGGCATGTGAAATGAATAAACATTTCTCAGATAAAATAGAAAAGGCAAATAAATTTATGAAAAAATGTTCAACGTCACTGGCATGTTGAAATGGGTATGTGAAATGAATAAACACTTCTCAGATGAAATAGAAAAGGCAAATAAATTTATGAAAAAATGTTCAACCACACTGGCCATTTGAGAGATGCAAATTGAAACAACTGTGAGATTCCATCCCAATCCAGAAAGAATGAGTGTTATGAAGAAATCAACCAATAACAAATGCTGGCAGGGTTCTGGGGAAAAAGAAACCCTTCTCCACTGTTGGTGGGAGTGGAGACTAGTGCAACCATTGTGGAAATCAGTATAGAGATTCCTCAAAAAACTAGGACTAGAGGTTCCATTCAACCCAGCTAACCCACTTCTTGGTATCTTCCCCAAAGAACCAAAACCATCATACCACAGTGATATCATGGCACACCCATGTTCATAGCAGCAGTTTCTAATAGCTAAATCTTGGAAACAGCCCAAATAAATGCCCATCAACCAATGAATGGATAAAGATTTTTTTATATACAATGGAATATTACTCTGCCACAAAGAAGGATAACCTTGAGATATTTCTACATAAATGGGTGCACCTTGAAACCATACTCTTTTGTTGTTGTTGTTTTTGGTACCAGGGATCAAACTCGGGACCTTGTGCTTGCGCTTTCGAGGCAGGCACCGGAACCACTGAGCTAAATCCCCAGCCCCAAACCATACTCTTAAGTGAAATAAATCGGACACAAATGTGTAAATATTGCACTGTTTCTCTGGTATGAGAAATCAGAAGTGGAAATAAGGACTAAAATGTACAACAGATATTGGGAAGTAGGAAGAAAACATTCAAATGAGAAAGGGAACAAGGGAGGGGGAAGAAGGAAAGGAAGGAAAAAGAAAAAAAGAGAAAGATAAAATGGAAAGAAAGCTTTTATCAATATGAAAGAAGGGTAGAAAGGAATGGGTGGAATGGGAAAAATATGAATCAAGACATATCATGTACAGGTACAAATTCCATCTGATGAATTATCATTATGTATATCTAAATTTTACCAATAAACTTAATGATAAAAAAGAAAAAACCCACACTAACACAAGCCCAAACACATAATATTAACTTTGTCTATTATTGATTTACAAGGGTAATTAAGATTTGACTTTGATATACAGCTGGAAAGAGAAGTAATTTAATATGCTTTTCAGATAACTCTGAATATTATCTCCTCCACAATGCTGGAAAACAAGGACTTCAGACACACTAAACAACCACTTTACCACCTAGTTATATCTCCCACCCAATATTCTTTCATTTTGCCCCAAAATTCAACATATCATAGTTTCGTAAAGGTCAGATGCCATATGCAGTATAAAATCTTCAATGAACTTTATGGGCCATATTAAATGAGGTTAATGTTTAATGTTTAAGTCACATATACTTTCAATATAATATATTGTCTAGTAACAAAATTTTACTGTTAAGATTTAAATCCATTGCACTTATTTGCACTTTGAATCTTTAACTTAGGCATAATTTTATAGTATGATCCACTAGTCATTTGGAAAACAATGTTTCAGGAAGTTATGTAGTCCTTTCTATTGCTGGCATAGTTCAGAAAAGCAATATTTGTTTTGGGTTTTTTTTTTTGTTTTTTAATTAACAATAGTTTTGAGAAAACCATTTTTATTATCATTACCACCCAGCTTATTTGTGCTGGATTATGTACCAAATGGCCAGATCTTCTAAAGAACACCTACATAACATTTTTTTCATGTTTCAAGAGATGAAAATAACTGTACAAGGTTAAGTACAAAAGTACACAAGACAGCAGATACAAAAAGATTTATGTACGAGATTTTATTCCACCTGCAGCTTTAATATATTTGAAAAGTAGAATTCATTAACTAAAAAATATTGTCCTTCTATAGTCCTGTCAAGTTTAATGGAAGTGGGTTTAACCTGATCACAACACTAACACCAGTATCACTGATCTAATATTTACAAAAATTGTATTTTTCAATAAATTAAAGTCAATGCAACACC